TACATAGATTTACTTATTCAAATTTAGATGATTTATTCAAAAAAATATACTTATCTGTTTAACAGGGGAGATTTGCATAGGCCTTCTTCAAAGGGACTTGAGCGAAGTTCTTCGGATAGCACCAAACTCTTAGGTATAAATCTTCATAAACTTAAATCCCCAGAAACTTCTATAGATGTAACTCGAACTAAACCTCTTGATATAACTTGAAATAAATTTCTTTAGATGCAGCTTGAACTAAACCTCTTGATAGAAATCCCCATAAACAGTTTTACATATATCTTGAATTAAACTTCTTAGAGATGACTTGAAATGAACTTCTTTAGATATAACTCGAACAGAACCGTCTAGATATAGCCAGGCTTATAAAATCAGACGGCCAATAAGAATATTAAAAGTCAATTAGTACATCGGATGTCCAAGATAATTAAAAATTTAAATCAACTTATTCGTTGACAGATACAAATCGAAATTGAATTCGAACTTTTGACGCAAGGCATAAACGACAAATGACATTAGAGTAGAGATGTTTGCGTTAAAACGGTTCCAACCGTTACAAATGATACAAGAAAATGCCAAGAAAATCACTATTGGACCCTTGTGCAAAAACATTCAAAATAAAAAATATTTTGTGCTCATAGCTTAATCAGATAAAATGTATTTTTCTTGAGGATAAACAAGATATAGTGTTCATATGAAACTGATTTCTTCCACCACAAAACATGAAGATGTTAGGTATGTTTGGGATTTAAATTTTCATATCTAGCATCACTAGTTGATAGATTGACAAGATGATAGACAAAACGTCTAGAACCTAATCTTCCATATTAAATTTTAATATAAATACATCTATAAAGTTATAAGCAGAAAAATATTAAAGTAACATAAAAACTCGCTTCATAACATTGAAGACATAGACAAAATAAAAATGTACTTCGAAAGTGACGTCATGCGCAAGACTGACCGAATTTCGTACCGTTACCGCTTCACCTGTATTTTTCCACCATGGGGTAACCTATTTCTAATATTTCAATTATCGTTTAAATATTAAAGTAAATTTGTTTGAATTTATTAAAATGTTAGATGTTTAACTAAAATACTTAGATCAGCCTACATTTTGTTTTAAAATACCGATTAGAATTATTTTATTTTATTCAAGTGAAAACAGAAAATAATAATAATAATAATAAATTAATTTTTTGTACTAATTTATACAAAAATACAAAATATAATAATACAATCTCGATATAGGTGTAACTAAATGAAAAAAATCGATAAGTGAATTGTTCACTTGTTTCGATACAGTAACAATAAAGTAGAAAAAATAACAATACATAAATACGAAAAATAATAAAATTACAAAGGTCAGAAAGTATTAATACAGCATTATACACATATACACACATATATGAATATATACAAATATTGATAGAATAAATTAAAAACAATACAACAAATATAGTAGATATTATACTAATTATTGACTGCCTCCTTTGTTCGTATGATTTCAAATATTTTTTGAATTTATGCGGATTAGTTATTACTCTTAATTCTAGTGGAATCGTATTAAACAATTTTGGGCTCATATATGAATACAAACGCTGTCCAATTGATTTTTGCATATAGGGAGTTATTTGAAATTGTCTACTCCGCGTTCAGTAAGTGTGTGACCATATGGTGAATTTCTTATGCATATAGTAAGAAAAAACAATTCTAGAGCTGACGAATATCAAAAATGTTTGCCTCAATATATAACTGGTCAGTGGGAAATTTCAGGTCCTTTTTAAATACTAATTTTAGAAATCTTTTCTGTAAAATCTCTAATGGACGAAGGTGAGTTTTCAGTGCATTACCCCAAATAAGAAGGCCATATCTGAGGTGACTCTCAACCAGTACATAATAGAGGATTTTAAGCTGGTTAATGTTTAAAATTGATGTTAAATATTTATACTTATAGAGAATACATCTTAGTTTTTTGCAAGTATAAAAAATATGTACATCCCATCTCATATGCGAGTCCAAATATATACCCAGATATTTCATATTATTTACTGAATTTATTATATATTGATTGTTACTGGTATTAATATTTAGTTGATTGAAGGAGGGAGCTGTGGATTTGTTACAGAAGAAAGGGATATAAAATGTTTTTTCAACGTTTATTGTTAGGAGTTTATAGTTTAACCAATTTTCTATTGCAGGAAAATCATTTTCAACCATATTTTTCAGTTGTTCTCATGTGTCAGCAGTATAGAAGACCGCCGTATCATTTGCGAACCACAGAATTTCAACCTTAGACTTAATCGAAAATAAGTTATTTATGTACAAATTAAATAGGAGTGGACCTAATATAGTGCCTTAGGGCACACCATATTTAATAGTCATAAAATCAATGTAACTATTGTCTATCCTTACGGTTTGCAATCTTTCATTTAAATACGTTTTAAATAATTTTAATGAAGTGCTTCTGATCCCAATATCTTCCAATGTTTGCAGGAGAATGTGATGGCTTACCGTGTCAAATGCCTTTGATAAATCAAGAAACACGCATAAACAAGGTTTACTGGCATCTAATGATGAATATATTTTTTGTGTTAACGCCGAAGTCGCATCTTCTGTTGATTTCTTTTTCCTAAAACCATATTGATTGTTGGATAATAAATTATATTTGGTTATGTATGAGTTTAGGCGAATTTCCAAAACTTTTTCAAATACCTTTGAAAAACTAGATATAAGAGATATTGGACGATAATTTATTATTTTATTTGCATCATCTTTTTTAAAGATTGGTATTACGACAGTTTCTTTTAGACATGATGGCCATTTACCACTCTCCATACAAACATTAAAAATATATAATAAAGGCTCTTCAATATAGGGTAATATGATTTTTAAAACATCACTTTTAATTCTATCGATCCCTGGTGCTTTTTTTGTTTTTAAATTATTAATTATATTTCTTATTTCTTTCACATCAATAGGGTACAACACAAAATTATTTGGGATACATGTTTTTGGAGGAATATACTGAGGGTCTTGTATGATTTTTTTTGCTAAAGTTTCTCCTGTTTTTACAAATATTTTATTAAATTCATGAGATATTTGGATTGGATCTGTTAGTAAATTTCCCACTTCATCCTTTATCGATTTTATTTCAAGATTATTTTTATTGCAATGTGACATATCATTAATAATTTTCCAAAGTTGCTGTGAGTCAGATTTATTTTTATTTTTGCACTGTTTAATTAAATTTGTTGTTTTATTTCTTACATTTTTGTATTCACTTTTTAAATAATCATTATTAGGATACCTTTTTACTTGTTTGTGTAATTTATTTTTATTATGTATTGTTCTGACCAGTTCATTAGTTATCCAGGGTGTAATTTTTGAATTTTTTCTATATACCTTGACGTTTTTTGTACACTGATTTATGTGTGATGTTACAATGTCAACGAATTTTTTATAGAGTCAGGTTCACTGGTTTCAAAGAGATTATTCCAAGAAATCTGGCGAAATTGATTTTTTAATTTTTCATAATTAATATGTGCTTTAGTATGTTGTATGCGATTAGACATGTTTTTGTTATTAATAAGATTGTGGATTAGTTGCAGCGCCATGGAATAATGATCTGTAATGTTAGTTTTTATTATTAAGGGTATTACGTGTTCCAACATCGACTGGTTTTTTACTTTTACAAAAATATGATCAAGACAAGCCTTGGAGTCTCCTTGAACCCTTGTTGAACTATTTATAATGGAACTATAATCAAATTCACTAAACACACTCAGATAGTCATTAGTGCATTCTGTGTCTACCATTAAATCAATGTTGATATCACCTAAAAAAAATTGACAGTATTCATTAATCTTATCATTTTCACGTAGAAAGTCCTGCAAAAGTTCAATGAAATTGTTGGCTACAGATAAAGGTGATCTGTAATAGGCTGTTACTATTATATTTTCAAATTCGTTTATAGATAATATTACTTGAAAGGCATTCGTATAGCATAGGGGCAATATTTCATATGTATATTTGAAACATGTTTTTATAAAAATCATCACCCCATCACATAATAACCAGGAATAGCAAACACATCCAGGTCTTTAATTATTCTTGTTTTTGTGAACACAATACAATCTACATTCACGTCCAGTTCATTCAAAAAAAGTTTGTATTCATCTAAATTTTTATTTAAACTTCTATTTATTTCTATTTATCGATAAAACATCATGTAACTCTTTGTTATTATTAAAACTGAAATCTTCTACTTTTTCAACAATAAAATCTTTAATATAGGGATCCATTAAATTTATTCTTAAAAACTAATTACAAATACTGAAATAGATCGAAACAGAACAAATAAAAACTTATCATATCTATCAGACTAAACAGGTCCTAATTGTACTTTTTTCTTAACAGGCTTCTTTATTATATCGGATGCAGTTTTTGTCGATTTGCTATGTATTGTAGCCCCGTCAGATCTCAAACGGAATTCCTTAGTAGGTTTGGTCTTCTTGATTTCATTATTTTCTCCTTTCTTCGTTTCCGTCTCAGAGTTAGTTTCCTGAGTAATACGTTTCTCTTCATAAACTGGATCTTCAGTTTCTTTAGGAGAAGGTGTTGATGGTTCACTGGCAGCTTTTCTCTGAGGGGGGGGGGGTGAAAAATTAAACTCTGGTTCCAGATTTATCAATTCGCTGGCAGGATATGGTACTTCTCCTATAAAAAGTTTTAATCCCTTTATATAGGCTTTCTTATTTCCATTTCGCGCTATTTTAAGATTCTCTAGTAATATCCTTTTCTCTTTTCTATCTTCTTCTATCAAATCTTCAACTATTTTTATCGATGTTTCTCTGAGATTAGTACAGTTACTCAATATTTCTTTTTTCTTTAGATAAGATATTAAGGACAACAACACTGGGCGAGAATTAAAGTTCTTTTTTCTAATTCTATAGATATTATTGATTTCGCCAGTATGTAAACTTACTTTTAATGTATTATTAGTTAAATTCAATATGGCATTTATTAAAAAATATTGATTTTCTTCTTCCTCCTCAGGTAGACCGTAGATAATTAAGTTATTTAGTTTGAGTTTCCTTTCTGTTAATTTTAATTTGTTTTTTAATTCGGTGTTTTCTTTTTGAAGGGAGCTAACGTTTTGCTTAACAGATTCTACTTCTTGATGTATTACTTCCTTTATTGTTTTGACTTCTTGTTGCACTTCCTCTATTTTACGGGTTATATTATCTTTTATTGTTTGTAGTAAAAGGAAAATATCCCCTGTAGAGATTTCTTTAGAAATATTGTTTGTTTCGAATGTTAACATAATTAGAATAATTTGAAGTGCCCTTGTATGTGAATCTGAACTTTCTTTAATATTATATTTATAACAACGGTTTAATTTTGTTGGTTCCTGTTTATTAAAATTAAAATTATGCAGCTACTTACAGTTATTAATTTATAATTTTGTTTGCATTTGATTCACTATATTTTTATCTACACTTTGATATAAATCACTAATATTAATTAGTTTTTACCACGATTTTAGTAGGTTTTGTCAGACCATGTTTTATTTTAATACATCGCGTTCACTCGATGTCGATCTGTCAGAAAAACGTGTGCGAAGTTACTTTGCCGCAAGTGTACGCCAATAATGTGTAAAAGCCTATTTTGGATAGTTTTTGTAGAAAAACTACTATTATTTGTTTGGAGATACATTTTTTGAATTTTCCCCGTACCACGAAGATTTCAAATAATTGTATTATGTTTTTGGCTCTTTGTTTTAACTCTATTATCCTCACCGTCATATCAATGACCGTGAGTTATTCCAATAAACGATCATGTCTAAATTAAAACCTCGTCAACCCACACGAATTACTAGAGCTCAACGCACACCTACACAAAGTACAGCCCTGTACAAACAAAAAATCTAATATATTTGTCGTTTATATCAGGACATGACATGATTAATTACTTTTATTTTATTACGCGTTGATGCTCTGCTTCTGCTTATTTGTTTTCAAAGACTATTTTTTTATATTTTACAAGGTCTGATTGAAACGAAAAAATAAAGCGGAAAATTTCACAACTCTATTTTATAGCCAATCTAATGCTTGTTTTAAAACGTTTCCATGGCAACTAGCAAAATTTGCGGAAATTTTTCTATTGCTTGGTGAGTTGGTGCCCTGAACTAAATTACGCTGAAAATTTTTTGACAATTGAGAAACCCTTCCATGTACGACATTACGATGCGATAGTGTGATAAAAAAATAGCCATTTCAATTCTTGATAATTTATTTAATACCAATTATAACTATATATAGAAATAAAATATAATTATTATAAGCCAACTTTGCAGATTTGATTTTAGCTGTTTTAATTCATGTCTATCAAGTTTTAAAATTTTTATATTTGGGTATAAATTATGATCTGGAAATTTTTTATCGCTCACGAATATTCTTGAGTTATATAAAAATTCCGAAAATAATTTAAATTATAAGTGAAAATTATTGATCGTAAAACGAATCAAAATTGCTCAATCAAATTAAATAAAAACTCCTAGAGTTTGGTGTGCTCCTCCCGACTCACCCTGTATACTTTTAATATACAGAGGATATACTACATATTAGGGTGTTTCATTTTTGAGCAACATTTTTTTTCAACTAAAACTTTCAGGAAGATGAAAAAAGAAGCCTCTAAAAATTTGAGCTCTTAATATTATCATTTAGTGGTGCCTGTTCCTAACTTTCCATTTTCCATCTAAATAACATGGAAAATTTTTTTTTATTTTTTCTTATTTTTGTAGCTTGACATTTGAGCATTGTAAAGATAAAGTGAAAAATTATTTTGGTAGGAAATTGAACGCTCTACAAAAAGTTCTAATTATTTTTTTTTTCATAGAATGAGCCGTTCTGAAGATATTCAAACTTAAAGTTGCAAATGTATGAAATTAGGACTTTTATTTTATTAAACTAATACTGATGACTTTTTTTATGTCTTTAAAATTATTTTTAATCTGAAAACTGGTTTTTGTGAGCTAATATTTTTAGGAAGCTAAAATAAAAAAAAATACATCTTAGATATTATTTGATTAACCCTTAACTTGGCAACGTATGTTATAATATACATAATATACATATATTTTTATTTGGGAATCAGTAAGATTTGAGACCCATTTGTTGGCAATGTATAGTGGAGGATACACTATCGTATGTAGCCGACGGGAGATCGGTGCGAAAATTCTCAATTCGCGCATCTAGGTCCGCTGGTATGGAGACAGTCTCAGCAAAATGGATGAGCAAGCGTGTTGTTCCAAGCAACAAGTGGTAAGTTTATTGTTATTGATTTTTATAATGCAGCGCTAATTTTTTGGGAAATTACTGTTGAAGCATAGTACTGTTTATTTATAAATACATTTTTGGTATTCAGTAAATATTTTTTCCACAAATTGAATGAAAATTTATCGTATTGTATAGTATACACCGCCCGGTATGGGTTACTCGATATTTATTTTTATTTTCAGAATACAAAAAGGAGAATTGATAAAATTATGGCTCTTTTGCCTCCAATTGGTGCTGAAAGCGACCCAGAAAGCAGTAGTGACGATGAACAAGAGGTGTTATCTCGTAATTTACTGAAAGAATTCATTGAAGATCCAGATGATGATGATGAGGAAAATTACACTCCTGAAGAAAATAGAAAAGACGCTGTAGAATTATTACCTATTTCAGTCAGTAAACAAAGACTAGCAGCAGCTACTCCCTCGGTTGTGCCACCGTTTTCGCCATTAGTTCAAAAAAACCCAAACTCTTCAATAAAAAGAAAAGGAAAAAAGATGAGCCTCCATTTAAGTGGACAACTGATGATTTTGAATATGAAGTAACAACGGCACAAACGAATGATTTTACAAGACCCCAAAATATAAAAACACCTTTGCAATATTTTAAAACCTTTTTTAGTCCAGATATCGTTGAATTAATCGTAGATCAAACTAACCTGTATTCGACACAAACCTTTCACAAATGTGTAGACACAAGCATAGATGAAATGCACGATTTCTTGGCTATCGAAATTTTAATGGGGATTGTTGACATGCCGGCTTACACGGACTATTGGGCTCAAGAAACACGATATGAACTTATTGCAAATATAATGCCACTAAAAAGGTATCAAGCAATACGACGCAGCCTTCATTTCGTCAATAACGAGGAGTTGAATGATGACAGATATTTTAAAGTAAGGCCTATTCTAGATCGTGTACGAAGAAACTGTCTTACAATTGAGTCAGAGTCTAGATGTTCAGTGGATGAAATGATGATTCCATACAAGGGGAAAAAGGCCGGCTCGAGGAGGCAGTATATGAAGAATAAACCAAAAAAATGGGGTTTCAAAATGTTTGTTCGCTGTGGCGTATCTGGGATAGTGTATGATTTCTTTCCCTATGGAGGAAATGATACGTTTAGAAACCATTGTTTTACAGAAGTTGAAAATAACATGGGATTTGGTGTAAAATGTGTTTTAGCACTATGTTCGACAATCCAAAATAAACCATTATCGATGGTATATTTTGATAATTATTTTACAAGTTTAGACCTTATAACATATCTTCGAAGTGAATTTGGAATTCTATCTTTGGGAACTGTTAGAAAAGACAGACTACGGGATTGCCCACTTGAATCAGATAAGAAATTGAAAAAAGATGGAAGAGGTAGTTTTGATCAAAGAGTAGACAATGACAGTCACATTGTTGTTGTAAAGTGGTACGATAACAAGTCCGTAACCCTATGTAGTTCGTATGTGGCCTCCAATCCAATGACAACTATCCAAAGATTCTCCAAAGAGGAAAATAGAAAAATTCACATTCCATGCCCAGTTAATAAAACACTATAACAGTCATATGGGTGGTGTGGATTTGGCAGACATGTTGATTGCTATATATAGAATACGCTTTAAAACGCATAGATGATATATGAGCATTTTTTCTCAAATTATAGATATATCTATAAATAATGCTTGGCTATTATACAAACGAGATTCAAACATTCTACAAGAAAATCCAAAAACAGTAATTCCACTCAAACAATTTCGAATTAAACTTGCCAAAAGTCTACTGCAGGCTGACAGAGTAAAAAGAGGACGTCCCAGTAATGAACAGCTACCACTAACTTCAAAAAAAATTAAAAACCCGGTAAAGCCTAGACCCCAAGATGACATATTTTGTAGCAAATGCAATATAAGGCTATGTTTAGTCCAGAACAGAAATTGTTTTATGGATGTTCATATTAACAAATAAATATTTTTGAGTAATTTTTGATAGTTTGATTTTACTTCGTAACTTGGCAATGTGTAATATGCTATACATACCCATTTATCGGGCTATTTGGCGATGTATACTCTGGTATACAATCAAAATTTTTGACATACAAATGTCATATAATTTTTTTGTTATCATAGAATATTTGTATAACCACCAAACAGAACACATGCAAATTTTCAGATTTTTAGATTCAAAATTAAACTTTTGCCAAGTTAAGGGTTAACTGTTAAACAAAAGTAATAATTATGAATTAGGTTCAGTAAAATTATTATTTTATAAATTAAAAAACACTTTTTAACAATTAGCATACTAAAATTTTGAAACTAATAGATATTTTAATGTCTTATCAGAATTAAATGATGTAACTATATTTGTTGAAGTTTCTTTATTACAATTTGGATATTTTCGTCCGTGCTCCTTTACCACTTATAATATTAAAATTGTACCTCATCTTTAGTTAGGCATCTATTATATTCTTCTACTAATGCGACGCCATGTCCTGCAACGTCATTGACAACTTTCAATTTTTTGAAAAACTCCAAATTCTCTTGATAACTTTCATTACCTGGCCAAATTAGGATATCTGCATACAGAAAGTCGTACGGCAAATCAAATTTGTCAAAAAGTTTTAATGATTGTTTTGAAACAAAGTCACTCATATTTTTGTTTAAAAATATTTCTGGTGAATTTTTGTCTTCTGTGCGTCGTTATTTTCTTTCTATATGAAAATAATGATGTTTTCTTAAAAATAATTTTTAAGACAAAAAAGTCCAGTTTAATAAAATAAAAGTCCTAATTTCATACATTTTCAACTTTAAGTTTGAATATCTTCAGAATGGCTAACGCTATGAAAAAAATATATTAAAACTTTTTGTAGAGCGTTCAATTTTCTACCAAAATAATGTTTCACTTTATTTTTACAATGCTTAAATATCAAGCTACAAAAATAAGAAAAAAGAAAAAAAAAATTTTCCATGTTATTTAGATGGAAAAGGGAAAATTAAGAACAGGCAGCACTAAATGATAATATTAAGAGCTCAAATTTTTAGAGGCTTCTTTTTTCACCTTCCTGAAAGTTTTCAGCCTGTTTTTTAGTTGAAAAAAAAAAAGTTGCTTAAAAATGATACACCCTACTACATATACTTGGAGTACTTAAATAAATCATCCAAGACCATATATCCCAAATTTATTTTAGCAGCGCATTTTTGTAAAGTTGAAATCCCAGCAAGGGATACTTTTGAGTATTTCTGTAATAAAATGTGACACCTTTTTTTAAGGTTTTAATAAACAGAAAGCGACATTGACAATGAAATAAATATAACAATTTGACATACAATAACTAAGTAACTAACTCACTTAGTATGTAATTACATTCACTACATTCTTCTCACCTTTAAAATCTTACATAATCATCTAGAAAGGTCGGTAGTTTTTTTAATCGCATTGATCTTCTCGACTCAGGATTTATCTGATGAGTCTCACAATTATTAAATTTACGAAGTAGAAGAGGTCCAGGTGATGATAACCATGCAGGAAGAGATAATCCACTGTAAGATCGTCGGGGGTGGTTAAACATTCTTTCATGCGGAGTTGCATTGGTAGCAGTGCATAGTAATGAGCGAATCGAATAAAGCGCTTCTGGTAGTACTCTTTCCCATTGGCTCAATTTCAGTCCATTACACTGGAGTGCAAGGTTAATGGTTTTCCATATGATGCCGTTATACCGTTCCACTTGGCCATTGACTGAAGATTGTAAGGAGTATATCTACTAGTAACTATACCTTGAGCATCTAAGTATAATTTGAGTTCATGAGAAATAAAAGATGTACCATTGTCAGAGTGGATACAGGAGGAAGTACCGAAATGAAGAATAATTCTCTCAAATGATTGATTACTTCAGATGAAGCCGTACTGATACATGGAAAAACAAAGGGAAACCTAGATAATTAATCAACTACTGTTAGCATGTACGGTTTACATAGCATAGATTTCAAAGATAATTATTGTAATTAATACCACAAGATGGTTTTCATGAATCTCTTTTTAGAGATAATTTTGTAAAGTATACTACTACATGTTGTTAGTTATTCCCTTTATTTTTCGTTTGCATTTAAATTTATATTATCACAGAATAAACAATATACAATAACAATTAATATTATTTAATTAATTAAATGTATATTGAAAAATATTTTTATTCCAATTTCAGTCTCGCGTCAACCTGACAGCTTTTATATCCGTTACCGTGGCGATCAGTACATGACAATCCTCCACCGTGATTTCTGGATGCCGCACTCCTGGGGCTGGAAACAGCTGCTCGATATGCCTACGCCAAACAACATCGGTCTGTATTTTATAGTGTAGTCGACCATGTCGGTGCAGTACCGCTCCTAGTTGGAGTTTTTTTTTTCTGTAGAGGGGAAACCCCTTGAAACCAAACACTGGGTCAATGAGTTTGGTAGTGTCAGGTGTAACTCCGACAAAAACTCCTTCACTGACTTTCCGTGGTCTACCAGGGACTGCCTTTCGGCATTGATTCCAGTAGCATGGGCGCTGTGTCTGTTATTGTGTCTATCTCCTCTCCCTCTATCTGACATCGGCTTTTCTTGCTTAGTACTATCGTTGCAAAGTGGCTTATATCATTCCAATTATTTTGGTTTACTAACATTTTGTTGACTATATTTTTCGGATTTATATTCCCAATCTTGATTTCTAGCATTGTCCTTTCGTTACTTCATCTTTAGCATTCAAAAATTGCATACTCTACTGTGTTTATTTCCCTGCAGTAATGACATTCATTGCTCTCTGTGACGTGGAACCTATATCGGTATGCCTGAAAACACTCGTGTCCGAAGATAAGCTGTGTAAGGTAGTATGAGACCTCGCCATGATTTCTTGTAGCCCATAGTTCAATATTGGGAATTAGCCTTTTCGTCCAATGATTTTTATAAGTTTCTCGTTGCCATTCTTGTATCTATTTCTAAATTGTGTGGTTAGTAGCCACTTTTTTATCAATGCCATTTCGCATAGCACAATTTTCTTCCACTAATAGATGGATAGGGGGTATTCTGGCGATGACCAATAATGCATCCGTTGAGGTTGTTCGGTATGCGCAGGCAATTCTGATTGCTACTTTTCTTTGAACTTTTAGGAGAGTGTTCCTATGTTTTTCCATGGCTCGGTTCCATGTCGTTGCCCCATAAAGTATTATGGACATAGCTATGCTGCACAAAATTCTCCGGTTTCCTTCTCGTGGTCCTCCAGTGTTGGGTAGAATTCTGCTTATATTTGCTATGGCTCTTTCCGCATTTTCAGCCACATTTTTAACGTTGTTCCATTCTCTTGTTGTACTGTTTTTATACATAATGTTAAGAGAAGCAATCTCAAATATAAGCTATGAGAGATAATGTGAACTGTATATTTTTTTGAATCCATATGTCGCTGTTTCTTTTTGCACTTTCAGTGAAATCATACACGCTCAAGTTTTTAACAACATTTAATTTCAACAACTAATCGCCATTGGCTTGAACAAACTTCAACAAAAAAATAGCAGGTAAAAAGTCTTAGAAATTCCACTCGCGAACTCGCGATCACCAGCACTACGTTTCACTTTTACAATATTAAGTTTATTGGTTTTAGATTGAATCAGAGAGAGTAGAGACCTTAGCCCTTTTCATCAGAAAGCTCAGTTGAGTTGTGTCTTATGAGAGACGAGAGAGAGAGTGTGTAAAAAATATGGCGTGAGCCGGAAAAGAAACCCCCTTCTCCTTCTTATAATTTTAAGTACCAACTTGAAGAAATAAAGATTACTAATTAAAATAAACAAAAAGGCTGTAAAGTATATGCACCCAACAATACAGCTCCAAGATATAAAAATTGCCTACCTATTGGAGAGACTATGTCTTGAACACTTGTTATGGTCAAAATATACTCCAAGATATTTGATTTCCTTTTGGCTCATTACTGTTACGTCTTGCACCCTAACATTGATTTCCTTGACGATGCTTTCTCCTGTTTAGATAACCAACTCAGGTTTTTGTGGGGCTAGGGCTAGTCTTTTTGCTGTCAACAATTGTGTAATATTTTCTAGGACCTCATTTGCCGTTGTTTGCATTTTTTCCGCGTCTTTTCACGTCACTTCTATGGTCACATCGTCTTCGTAGCCTACTAGCTTCAGCTCGCGTGGTACCGGGAGTTTTAGGATGCCATTGTAGTACACATCCCATAACATTGGTCCTATAACAGAGCCTTGTGGTATTCTGCACGTCATCCTTCTCATTTTTCCTTCTGTCTCTATGAGGAGCCACCTGTCTTCTAGATAGGTGGCCACTAGATTATACGTTTGTGGTGTTACACCTCGGTTTCTCAGTTCCTCTAGAATTCCATTCCACGGAGCAAAATTAAAGGCATTTTTTACATCTATTGTAATGGGGGCACACCTTTTTGTGCCTGCTCTCTCATTTGCCTGGTCTACTATCTGCTGAACTTTTTCCATAGCGTCCATGGTTGATCTGCCCTCTCAGAAACCATATTATTCACTAGATAAGTCACCGTTTCTTTCTATTTCCCACTTCAGCCTTCCTAGGAGAAGATGCTCCTTTAATTTTGCAAATAAATTAAGGAGACAGATAGGCATATATGTCCTGTTCATTTGTTCTCTTTCATGTTTTTCCAGAAGTACCAGTTGTGCTACTTTCCATTGTTTAGGGAACATTCCTTTCAGCCAACATCTGTTAAAAATCTCCAGAATATATCCTTTGTGGTTTTTAAGTACCGCATTTACCACCTCTGCAGGTATGCTGTTTAAATGCATTCATGAGACGACCATGGCGAAAGGACACTGCACGTTTTCATAGTGATACGTCCATCAGTAAGAATTAATAAAAAATTAGTAAAAATGTCATGTCAAAATAATATTTTGTAAAACGATAAAAAAAATAAAGTTCTAATTTTATCTAAAGGTCCTTCGAGTACTTAAAATAGTCTTTCACGTATTCTTGTTGGTCAGATCGAGCCGGATGGACTTGTTAATAAAGAATATAGATTAATAATCTTGGAAGTCGTCGGCGTTGGGCAAGCTGAAGCTGGGTGAGTCCATTCCACGTTGTCGGCTTTCTAGTGATCGTCATATCGTTTAAAGTAGCATTTCTCGTATTTAAAGTTATTTCACGTATCTAAAGTATATTCTCGTATTTAAAGTTATTTCACGTACCTAAAGTAATTTCTCGTATTTAAAATAATTTCTCGTATTTAAAATAATTCCTCGTAGTTAAAGAAAGTAGTTTATCGTATATCACGTATTGATTTTGTAATATTCTCGTTTTAAAAGTATAATTTCTCGTTAGAATTTAAAGAATCCACGAAAGCCGAATAGTAAAAGAGAGATTAAATCAAATTGATCCTCTTCTGGCTCTTATTATTTATTGTATAATTTCACGTTTTGATAGGGGATTACACGTCATAAGACACGTAATTAATTAAGCTACGATTACACGGGATAATGTCAAATGAAGAGAAAATCGCTAACTGCAAGCACGAAAGGGGTATTTTTAAGGGAAAATTAACACGTTTTGAAGGTTTCTTTGGCAGATAAAAAGAATCATAAAGCGTTCTCCGAATTAAGCAGGAGATTACAGGCAATAGAAAACGCGTACCAAGAGTACGAAGGTGTACAATCACAAT